GCTAAAACTTGCTCAAACGGTCGACCACCCGCTGAGTGCTCAGCGCGATTACCCGGTGAAATAAACGGAATACGGTTGGTGTTTTGTGCTCGAACGGGCCCTTAGCCAATTGCACTCTGCACACTTACATTTAAGAATGCGGGTCCAGCCATCATTAATTTTGATTCATTTTTACTATCTAGCATGGACATTTTCTGATAAGCTCTTTACAAAAATATTTTTTTTTTTACTGGGTTAGTAGGGGATTTTCTCCTAGTGTATTGGCCAATTTACCACAGGTGGAGTAAGGCTTTACAGTCACTGCTGTTGACCCTCAGGGGCCCTGCCAGAATATCCAATATATTTAGATGATTTACCAGAATGTTCCTTTATTTACCAAAAAATATAGAGCATTAATATTTTTACACTATACTAGGGCCTTTTGAGATCATTGACATTGTCTGTCTGGTTCCAAATGATCTATTACATAATGATAGTAAAGGTTATAATTTACTTTTTATTAAATGTTTTACTGGAATGATTTTTAATTGTGCTTATCTGTTGAATTTCTACCATTCACGTTTTTACATGTCCCTAACAGTGATTCTATCTGGATGATATTTCCTGTCTCCAACTAAATTGCTTCACAAATCATGTTACTATTTTTCCTATATTTAATTTTTCAAAATTATATAGAAATATTTTCTTGCTAGAGGATGCCTATCAAATCCATATTTATTTAAATTGCATTTGTTCAATTTTTGTTTTTGCTAGAAACTCCCACTGCACATTTTTCGTTAGACTGTTTTCAGCTACAATATGCATTCATAGTTAATAAGTACCATTATCTATACACAGACAGTAATACGCTAAGGAGAATAAAACCATTTATTTTCATGGAAAATAAGTCAGTTAAAATATTCATTAGGCCTGCAGTGAAATGTCACTTCTGACGTAAAATCTTGTTCTTTTAAAGCCTTTATGATGATTCAATATCATAAGAGTTTAAACTGTTATATATTGATAAATTGTTAATGTTGATCATAGTATGAAAATGATATTGATATTTTGATGTAATAAGATATGTTGATTCACTAATAATGTGAAATATGAGGCCTAGAATTTACCTTTTTGAAGCATGCTATGAATGTAAGAGAAAATTTGTTCATAAATATAGATTATTATTACTCTTAATATGTTATAGCACAAATATGGTAAATCTGAAACTGGGTGTTTGATATTGTTACACAATAATACCTCAGTGGTTACACTAGATCAGCCTATTATGCTAATACTAATAGCATATAGGCTTAGGATTGCAAGGTTGAATCTTAGGCTAATAATATCAAAATTCTTGAGTAACAGTAAGTCAGACCATGGTCAGACCAATATACACTTCACTAGGCCTTGCATTCACCCTGTCAATTGTTTTTCCACATACATTGTGCTAGAAAAATGTTATGGTACACTACCCGTATCGCAACTCAGACAAGAATTGTTTTTTTTTTTATTTTTTAATGAGTAGGGTTTCAAATTTTATTATAATAATTGTTTGCTGCCAATGAATATTTTGGTGGATTTTCTGATTAGGAAATGTTGGTTTTTATAAGAGTCGCTTTAAAGGGTTTATAGGTAAATAAAAAATAAATAAAAGTATCAATTATTTTAATGCAATTTCATGTAAATCAGTATAATTTTTTAAAATAAAATATCATGTAGTATTTCACAATTCTCATCTAGGCAACAGTAGGCCTAGCTAACACCTAGGCCTAGCTCATAAATCTGCTAAGGAAACTGGGAATTTATGCCTGAAGTTTTGCTGAAGTGTGCTGTCTTAATTTGAGTTGAAAATGGTAGATCCTTATTGATTGTGTATACAGCCACTCAATATACCTCATAAAGAAACCGTTGAATAGCCAAGTGAAACAATGCAATGATAATTATATATACCTTAAGGAACGATCTTTATGAGAGATTTTCAAACAAATGTCAATGATACGCTTCAACTAGGAACATTTGCTAATTTAACCGTTGAACCGTGGATTGTTGGATGGAAAGAAACAACAGCCATGTGATACGATTTTGAAACAAGAGAGGATGTGTATGATAGTAAACGTTGAGAGTTGATGGCATAGAATAACTATGGTTACGATCGATGTGCCTGAATCATTGTGAATAGTATTAGCTTGGCGCTTGGCTCTTATAGTGTTCTGTGGCTATGTCAAGATGTGTAATTTATATAATTAGACATATGCTAGGATAGGAAAACTGTAGAAATTGAAAATTGTAAAGCGTGGAAGATTGTAGTGCTGAAAGTATTACGTTTATGTTGTTGATGTTGATAAGGATGTTGATGTTCTTGATGATGTTGTTCATGTTGTTGAAGTTGATGTTGTTGATGTCGTTGCTGTTGCTGCAGATGTTCTTAATATTGTTGAGATTGTTAGATGTTCTTCTTGTTGTTAGATGTTTTTTCTTGTTAGATGTTTATGTTGTTGATGTTAATATTGGTGTTATAAATATCTTACCAATTAGTAATAAATAATTTACTTGTCTCGGACTTTGAGTGTGTTTCTACTGATAAACACAAAGTAATCAATTTTTGTAACCGCATTTTTAATGAGTACCCAGACAGCCTGATCGCACAATAAACGAGTGAACGGACGAGGACAGTAGGCCCAGAAGAGTGGAGATATCCCCAATATCCCTCCCACAAAATTATTACAAAACAAGTAATTTCATCGCTCCACATGTTTGTTGTCGTTTTATCTTGTAGGCCTATGGTCATGAACAAAAGGACTAATCATTTTGAAAGTTCTCTCGTGATACGATCTGGCTTTGAATTGGTATAACCTGGAGGTCACATTTCACCTGATAATCTCTTTTTGTGTTAAAAAGTGTACAGTTAAAATCGGTTATTTGCCGTTCAAATCGCTTTTTTGAATGGTCATGTTTCTACTGCGAGAAATAAAACGATTTTTTGAAAAAGCAATGTTTAATCAATTTTTTTTCCCCAGTAGAAACAGGCGCTTTATGTAGTTTGGTCATTATAGGCTACGGTCACACTAGCGTCTCAAGCCTGGCTTGACTCAACGCGGGTGAGATTTCAAGCCAGGCTCGAAATTCTGGGTCGGTCACACTAGTTGGATTGACCTCCAAATAAAAAAAAAAAGTCGAAACAGCAAAGCCGTAAAGAGAGAGTTGGGCCAACTCTGTTTCACAGGATTCGATATACGTGCGTGTGATTGGGTGGATCGCAATCAAAGATTTTACACCAGACATGCCCCAACCACTCTTCTTCAACTGATCTTTTATCAGCTTGTATTGGGCTCGCAATGCCTTCAATTATGTTTGCATTTGGGCCGTCGTTCTCTTCTCATGTCCGAGACTGGCTAATCTGTCAGCAAGCACGCCAAAAATTCCCGTTTTGTTGTTTGTTTTTTTTTTATTTTCTATCCGGTCTCTCAGCTTGGGTTGGCCCCACAAATCTACCAGGTCAGCAGTTTCCTGGTTGCTCCAAATCAATCGCATTATTATTAATTAAAATTTGATTAACTTTTATGAAAAGTAATGATTGCGTCTTGATTGAACACACATGAAGAACTCGCGGGTTTTTTATTCAAGAACTTCTAAGCGCAACGGCGTCATCGGCTGTGATTGGTCGACAGCCGACGAGGAAATGTCAATCTCGGTCACGCCAGGGTCAATCCAGGGCCAATATGGGTGCTGAGCCGGGATCGAGATAGGTAGATTGAGATCGAGGCCACGTCAGGCGCGAGTCGGTGCAGATGCGGTCATATTACGAAAATCTCACCTTCGGTGAGTCAAGCCAGGCTTCAAACTCTAGTGTGACCATAGCCATAGTCATTTAGCCATCATCTGAGACCTTAAGTATCATGGTCATTTGGCCATCAAATGAACTGATACTGTTTCTCCTGTGTAGCATGTGGTTGATAGAATCATAAAGGATGTAGGCCTATATAGTCACAGACAGTTTTCAAGGATATGAAGCATACAGTAATCTAGTTTATTGAAATGAGGATTCTGAATGTTTAATTTTAATAGTTTTTTTTTTATTACACTGTGTAGTAACACATTTTATAAGAACAGTGAGGCTAAAATTGCTTTAAAATGAAAGAACAAAATAAGAAAAAATTGATGCTGAATTGATGGTAAATGTCAAATCAGGTTTGTGATTTAAAAAAAATAAATAAAAACCAACAAATCTCTATACCCTATATAATACAGACAATATATTGCCGTACAATAATAATTTTCTATGTTTGAAAAGTGAGTAACAATAAGAACATTTTGAGCCTGAAATCAGGCAATAAATTAAAACCTTTGCAAAATTTTGCTGGTTCTTGCGTATGAATTAAGGAAAATGTGGAAGAAAATGAACTATAAGGTCATGGGTGGACCAAGTTTATGGACAATATTGGATGTAACATTGAGACTGTTTGCTTTTGTGAAGGTTTGATGCAGATTAGGAGTTTGCTATGTAGTTTCATGAGTTTGCATTCTGAATTTTTATTTCATTTTTTATATTAATTTTAATTTGTATAACCTAAATTACATTAGAATAACTGTATTTATGTTTTAATGTATTTTCTTTAAATTTTTTGTTAATTTACTTTTGGACAAATAATGTTTTCAATATTTTGCAGCATTTTAACATTTTTTTGATATTCTATATTACATCATTTATTATTTTTTAGATTATTAATAAAAGAAAATCCCTTTGTATTGTTTTTAAATGTTTTTAATATAATTTAAATAGAAATTATCTTGATATTTTAAATACCTTTGCATTTTGTTTTGTCTTTGAAAACAGATGTTTTGTCTGCTTTTTAGTGTCCATAATTGGAACCCTTCCAGTTTTTAGTACTTTCTACTTACTTAACTCTGATTAGCCATGTTTACTCACAGCTGTCAGTAACAGTGATTTAAGTCTGTCAGCTTTTAGCATTCTGCCTACATGATAAATTGTTACAGTATACTTGTGTTTTTCCCATTTCTAGGCTAAGGATATAATGAAAGGAGCAGACATGGAGGAAGACACTGGCCCAGAGAAAACAGTTCTTGCCTGGTGCAAGAAGAATACGGAGGGGTATGTACAGCCTCCATTCCTTAGAACCAAAATGTATATTTGTTAGTTTGTGTTCAATTGAAAATTTATGTAAACACAAATTAATATGAATTAAATATTTAAAAAATAAACAAGGAATAACTGCTGCATTTTACTCAAATTTTGATTGATTCATTTAGTCACCCAGGATCCATAAGACATTGGTATCCAAGAATGAAAATTGTTGGGATCCTTAATACAGGGGGAAGAGGTCTAGGAGCCGAACAAGGTTTAGTCTCACTTATTTTGCGCGCAAGAAAAAAAAAATCCTCTCATTGACAAGCATTTAACCATGGTCTTTGGGATTGGAAGACATTCATCTTAACAACCAAGCTACATCACCTTAAAAAATCTACATCTCCATTCCACATGTACTGTAAGTGTTGGATGTCTGTTCTGAAAAAAAAAAATTGTTTTACTGTAGATTTGTGTTAGGCCTGTTACAACCGCTATTGTAGACAACAGCAGCTAATGTAGACAACAGCAGCTAATGTAGTAACAACCGTTAATTGCTAGTTGTACGGTCCCACCTTCATCAAATTTTGGAGCCGCATGAAAAAATTTACTGTTTGCTATTTTCCCAAAAAAAAATACGTAAATGGCAGATTACTACATTTAGATAAATTTTACTTCTTTTATATAAACTATTTTTTTAATATTTACTAGCCTGTTAACCACTAGTATATAAGATAGTAAAAAGCAAATACTAATACCCTCACCAAAAAATAATTTCAAAATTCAGAAACTAACAATTTTAATTTTATTTAGCCTACAGTAAAGCACATTTCTAGAAGCATGTATGTTAGTAATGGTATTACCACGTTCTGTCTACTATATTTTGCCATCCTTTTATTGTAAAGCACATCCCAAGACTTTCAAATTCAAGAAATTTTATTGGATAATACCACTATATTATTAATTTCACAATTATTATTAATATTTAATGTTTTTAGTTGGCATTGATGGTGAATTCGTGCATGCCTTGAAAGTGGCAGCTTTTTCCATCATACTTTATCTTCAAGGTCAAAGAAAATAGTTAGCTAGATAGATCATAGATAGATCATTTTTATTGGTCCAAAAATTGCTTTGGAAACTTGCTTTCCATTGGCACAAGACAACGTTTACAATAAATATAAAATAGAACAGTACTATAGGTAAAACAATGGTTAAAAAATTTACATGTGCACAGACATGACTTCGCACAATATAGATTACAAGGTAAAAATTGAAATAAAGGAAAAAATCATATGCAAGCTAATTGTTAAGCTAGGAGTTTTTATAAAAAATAAATAGGAATTGTTAAAGTATAAAATGTCATTATTTAACGAATGACTACAGCTAGGGGAACACCTTCATGGAACTCCAAATAATTTTAGATAGCAAATTTGTTATAATATTCATACACTGTACATTCTAAAGGCCAGCCTGACACATCAAAATATACATGTGGCTTGCAGACTTGCAACCAATCACAGGCTGGGATACTTTAGCATGTTAACTTTTTCAGTACTCCTAGATGAATGAATAAAGGCTCACAAAAATCAAATGATTAGGCGAGAGTTTTTGTATACCTTGTTTCCCAAACTTATTTTTTAAAGATCGTCAGAGGAGGGCGAAAAATAAATGAAACTATAATTTTGTTTTCTTATTTAGCAAATGGCTTTGCTAAAAACATGCAGATGGTGGGGAAATTAACAATAAAATTTTATTGTTAAATCTGAACTGTGTAGAAAAAAGAATGGTTTTAAATAAAATTTATAAATAAGGAAGAAATATACATTATTTTTGGAGATTTCAAGGCAGTGGTGGGTGTATTATAAAAATAAAGAAAAACTATTATTTTTTTCTCTAATTTCCATTTTTTTTGTGGCAGCTGGTATGCGAATTGATGTTTTAGGAGAAAATAAAAATAAAATTCTATTGTTGAATCTAAACAGTGAATGAAATGGTTTTAAATACTTTAAATTTATAAATAAGGAAGAAATATACATATCTTATTTTTAGAGCTTTCAAGGCAGTGGTGGGTGTAATAAGAATAAGAAAAAACTATTTTTTTTTTCTCTAATTTCCTTTTTTTTTGTGGCAGCGAGTATGCTACTGTAATTGATGTTTTATGAGAAAATAAAATGTTTATCAATAAATAAATAAGGAAGATAATATACATATCTTATTTTTGGAGATTCCAAGGCAGTGGTGGGTGTAATAAAAATAAAGAAAATTATTTGGGCAAAGCCCCCTGGATATTTGACTAATTATGGCAAATTTTTATTACTGATTTTGATAGGCATCGAGTTACTATAATTTGACTTCATGTTGGCTATGTTTTGTAATGTCGAAATCAGCTTCCAAAACCAAAACATTTTGAATAAAACAAGAAACAAAGAGTATGCAAAGTAACCATCTAATTTATTTTCAAATCCTCATTCTTGAAAGTGAAATTCTACATTTTGTAAATTTTGCATGAAATCTGTCAACCACGCTGTCATGGTCGAGGTTGCTTCACCAATCACGATGTATTTCAAGCATCATGAGGCTATCCAAACGAGCATTTGTCATAACAGAACGCACATTATATTTAATTAGTCTCATTGAACTATTATTATTATTATTATTATTATTATTATTATTATTATTATTATTATTATAATTATTATTATTTTTATTATTATTATTATTATTATTGTTATTATTATTGTTATTATTATTAATAATAACACAAATAGTTTAATGGAAACAATGTGGTGGCTAAATGAACATTACATACAAATATTTTTTTTAATTTGTTATTCGCCGACAAATTTTACTCGTCTTCTCCGACCAGGAGGGGGAGGGAGGGCTATGCTTCCCCTCTGGCGCCACCACTGCCTTTAGTAGAAACAAGGTTGAAAAAGTAGAGAACATAAAAAATACACATAAATGTTATAGTTGAGCTGAGTATGTTGATGTTTTCAATGCTATTGATGAAGGACGATTGAAAGCTACAGTAATTTGAATTAAAATGTGGACATAATGGGATTGGTATATTAAACTTAAACCTTAATGGAAAGAGATCAAGTAGTACAGTATAACCACATCATAACGATATCTTCTCAGTAATATAAAATACATTATGCACCTATCCTGCCATTATGTACCTAATCACAACCCACAATAATCTACAAATAATGCATGTTATGATTGCATTGGGATACAGCTTTCTATGAGGTGAAAAACAGAATATTCCATTCAACGTGATACTACATTGCAAAAACATTCCACCTTTATCGAATAAAATATTGCGTATGATTTTACAAATGAAAAACATCTTTTGTACAACAATATTATAATTAACTTTGGCTAAACAGATCATATAGTGTACGGTCTCAGGGTGAAAATATCAGATGTGTTGTATGGCAATCCTACGTTATCTTACCCCTCTTGTGGTGGCTTAACGTAGACTTGACCTAAAATCACGCAGCGCAATTTGTAAATTACAACAAATTTGTTTTAACCAAGGTCATTAGTGCAAATATACTATTTTACAAGAATAGAACGGATTTGAATGGAATCAACAATTTAGTTCTGTGTGACCTAAAATCAATAATCAAGAATCTAATAGTGTGTATTTTTATGATCGTACCTTGTTTACAATTCCTATTTCATCTATTGTGTTTTATTAATAATGTTCATTGATAATATGCTACTTCTCTTTTATTACAGGTATTTAAATGTAGATATTACAAATTTTACTACAAGCTGGACAGATGGTCTGGCGTTCTGCGCACTCATTCATAAATTCAGGTGAGATTTTCTGATAACCATCAATATTTTACAAATGGCTTCAAAACCTGCGAAGAATGTCTCCGAAAAGTCTGCATGTTACTTTCTTGCGAATTACATGTTTGTGCGGTAATGATGTGATGTTAAATCACATTTGTGAAATACATGTTACATTAAAATGAATAAATTATTGTCATTGCAAATACTTTTATAGTCATGGAATAATATTTTCTTCTCTGTTTTCAAAATTTTCCAGAAGTTATAAACTATAATATGTAAGTGAAGATGAATTGGTTTGAATAAATCATAAAATGCAATTCATTTGGGGTAATACTGTATATTCAAGTGTATAAGCCGCAAATTTTATATGCGATTTTCCCCCCCGAAGTTTGGGGTGTGGCCTATACTGTACACGGGTCATTAACCTACACCCAAAAGTTCAGATCACGAGCCACGGCGAAAATCAGGCGCCGTCTGCCTAGGTTGGGCACGTCCATGCTAGCTCAATTAATTAGCCTAGCCTAGGACCGGTTTGTAACCCTAGTATTTGTAATTATACTCAGTGCTGTACTAGGATTCCTACTACATTTTGGTCTGGGTTGCCTAAGTAATTATTTTCATAATTACGTTCAATTATAAACAATTTTGAAACACGCTGTTTCTATTCAAAACCTCTTCGCTTAAAACAATAACAAACTACTTTTTGGGAGTTTGGTCCTCGAGGTCATGTGAGCAGCTTCATTTTCGATGTCGCAACAAAACACACGTGAGCTGGTGAAACTTGCAACTCGAGAATATTAGAGAGAATATTAATGATACCGCTATAATTTTAGAATAAAAACTTGTGAAATTAAATTATGCTATAAAATCTTGAAGTTGTAATAATTATTTTACTGGAATTTAACTGTAGAAATTCATACGTCATCTGGGCATGCGTGAACTTTGTATCTACGATATTTCTCCAGTTCTGTTTTTGTTTATAAAACGTGGTGCGTGATGCATGCGTAATGACTTAGGCCTAGAGTTGCCAATATTTTTAGCCTAATAGTAATACCGACTTTTATTAGTCAACATAATAATAGAATGATTGTTTTGAATAGATAAATATACTTAATAAGTGTTTTATTTTATTCAACATAAACTAAACTGATGTTGAAAATTTAACGTAGCGTGACCGTCTAGAAAAAATTTTGATTTCCCTAGGGCTGCCTAGAGCAAGAATACGTTGTTAACATGGTGGTAGCGAGCACTTTACACGCATTTCCAGTGGTTGTTTAATAATCAGCCGAAAAAGATCAAATTTCTTTATGTGAACGTTTATAAATAATGTCAATTTTTCAAAATAATTCTAAACTTAACATTATGTGAACGGTTTAGAGCTTAAAAATAGGTGCGGCTTATACACAGGTGACACAAAAAATTGTGATATTTTGTGTCCTAATTTGGGGGGGCGGCTAATACACAGGTGCGGCTTATACACCGGAATATACGGTACAATATGTGCATTTCAAAAATATCCATAGGGTTGTGGATTATAAGTAAGTTCAACTTCATTCTAGGTTGCTCTGTATGTGACAGCTAAGCTCTGAGGGCAAATTGGTTTATAGTACATTCTCTTGAATTTCCTTGTTAACTACACATTTTTCTTAGGGTATTGCATAATAAATTTACAAATGGATAAAATTAATTTGAAACCCCTCCATCAGGAATATTGATTGCTAAAAGTTAATAGAACAGTTGTCTTTTTAAGTATGAATACATTGTTATTGTCAATCACAAGATATTTTTCTTGTGGTGCTTAATTTTTCTTGGGGTGTTCCCTGAGGTATTTCAAATTAGTTTTTGTTATACTAAAAAACCAAGAGCCAATGTAACTAAATTGAGGTGTTTGACAATGCATAAGGAGCAAGATGCATTTAGGTAGTAGGTGTAAAAAAAGATATTATTACATTAATGTAACTTATTTCAGAATACCACTGTGTGTGACACATCATACACTTCTTTGTTTATCTGATCTGAGCAAATTCAGAGTTCTAATAGAGTATGCAGGAGGGGTACGCTTTTATGTGTGTACCACAGCTTGTAAGGTGTTGCACTTCTGATCGTGAGATCGGGAGTTCGAGACCGACGCTTGTTGCATTGCCTGGGCAAGTGTCCTTGGGCAAGGCACTTTACTTGCGTTTGCCTCTCTCCACCTAATAAGTATAAGTGTCATTTTTGTGTGTTCCACCAAATCTCTATGAATTAACCGACATGAGATTAGCATTCCAAATTTGTTTTTTTATTGATCTACACATTCTTGCCAGAAGGCGTTCCAGAAACACTGCATCCAGGGTTGTAGCTGTAGAAAACTATGAGTGATTGGTAGACATATTCAAGTTCAAGTTCACGTTTATTTAAAATCATGTTCGCAACTTCCAAAAGAAGTTGAATTGCATTGATTTGTACACAATAATTAAAAATACATTGGAATATAAATATATAAATATAGTACACCAGAAAAAAAATACATACAAATTGAAATGGAATAAAATTTACAAGAGGTTACAATATTCAAAAGTTACAGTTTCATAATTAAAAACATACTATAAATGTTAATTAAGCAAAGGTACAAAATACGGTAAAAAGACAGGGAAGAAAACCACAATTGAAAATAGCAGAAGTGCCTACATGTAGGGTCACATTAAAATTAATAATTAATACAATTTGCAAATGAGTTAAAAACACATCACAGAAAAGTAAATTAAATATTGGATTAAAGGGTGGGTGAGTGATAACATTGGTAAACTCTAAATAGTAAATGGATTTTAAGGATGGGCAATTGGGTCAATGATATGGTGGGTTGGCAGCCATGAAGTTAGGATTGATTTCCTCATTGTTCTCTTGTTTCTTTGAAAAGGTGTATACTTTAAAAACTGAAAAAAATTCGATAGAAGCATGTTACAAAAATATCTCAAAGGTTGAGTTTTGCTAGTATATCATTTCAGCATAAATGTGTTTTTTTTTTTTTTTTGCAGACCAGATCAGTTAGACTACAATGCAATGCTAAAGAACACCCCTGAATCTAGACTTCAACACGCATTTGATGCTGCACATGAATCCATGAATATTGCAAAGTTATTGGATCCTGAAGGTAACTCTAATTCTTATATTTTCTGTACAGGCAACAATATTATATAATTTACCATAATATTTTTTATTACCTTGTTTCGCGAACTTGTTTTTTTAAAGATCGTCGGAGGAGGGCGAAAAATAAAAATAGAAATAGAATGTTGTTTTCTTATTTAGCAAATAGTTTCGCCAAAAAAATTCGGAAAATAAAAATTGAATTTTATTGGTGAATGTAAACAGTGTAGTAATGGGATGGATAAATGCTTTAAATGTACATAATTAGGAAGAAATGCATCTTATTTTTGGCGATTTCAAGGCAGCGATAGGCATAATAAAAATAAAGAAGACTTTATTTTTTTCTGAAATTTCCATTTTTTTTCATATTGTTGGGTGCACTGATTGGCAAAAAATAAAATTTAATTTTTAATCGAAATCATTGTTATGGGCGAGTAACGGATTCACTTAATAAGTTATAAAGAAATCTCACCTACCTAATATTATACTGAATTTGCCAGTCACTCCACTTTCAAACCACTGCTTGTTCATGCAATATTGCTCAGTAATATTGGTGCCTTCTGTCTGTCAGTTTTTATGAATTATTTATTTCCATGATTATTTTCAAGTTGGATTTCATTTTTTTTTTCTTATTCTTCTTCCCTTTTTGTGTATAATTTACCATATATTAAGACCTCGATATATTCGATAAATCCAACGACATATATAAAAAAAACAAAACTATTTATATTTTTACGAATCATGCAAATATGATTTTCATCCTTGAGTCTGATCAAAAACCCAATGAAGAATAACTCATAATGAAGAAATTCTTTTGAAAATATGTTGGGTTTTTTTGTTGTATCTTCTATCTTGGATATTTCTGATAGAGTAAAGCTGAGACTGTCTCCCAATTGTCCTTTCTTTTCGAAAGTGATAATGGCAAAGGTGAAACTTTTAGTGACATCTGAGATGTTTTTTAACAGGAGGTGGGCTTAAAGGGTGAAAACTCCAAAGCTGTTGGTATTATTAAATTGTTAGAATCTTAATATCAATTTATAAATACTGGTAATTCCTATCTCTATATTTTTTGTGCATTTATAATGTAAAATTTTTAGGCTTTTTCTCAACACATAAAAGCACTTTACAATATTGTATTTTAAAATGCATGTTTCTTTTGTGAGTAAGTTCTTTATTTTAAATGTAGCCTTTTACAATCCAAAGACCATTTGTCAAAGTTCTGTCAACATTAGTACCTTGTATGTCATTAAAAAACATACATCTCGCTGATAGCCTAGAAATATTCTAGAATCAGATCCTTGTGAAGTGAACGCTTGAACTGCACATCATATCAACAGGGAGCTTTCGTAGGACGTAGAATGTAATGACGCCACTGAAAGTCATCAGCACATGCGGGAAAGTTAAGTTCTCGTTGCGTGGATTCCATGAAGCAATTTGGCCAAATCCATGTATGCAGAGAATGCAGAGTGCCCAAGCATGAGTTATTCTATTCTAGCTTCGTGTCATTGAACAAAGCGAAAGCTCTCTAATATCCCGTTCTGCAACAAACTAGCACCCAACGATACACATGGGTGTAGGGAGGCAAACGTAAGTTTGCCTGTGTACACAACCATAGTGATCTATATAACATTTGAAATTGAATCTTTGAGGGGGGCTTTTTCCCTCCTGTCGAAAAGGCCTGGATCCCCCATTGTCCGACGCAATGACAAGGTCATCTGATCAAAAATTTAAAAACTAATAATTTACCTATCCAAATAACATTATTTTGATTGCCTTTAATATTGTGTGTCTAAAAGCACAATTTGTACCATGTTAAGCCGTAAAGCTCTCACAGTGAACGCTATAGAGATTTTTTATTCCCGGACCCAGAACGAGGCTCTAGTCGGCCCATTGGTTCGGACACATCTGTCAGACATGCCAGACCCCTTGTCGGCAAATTTTTGGAGCCACCCCTGACTTTAAGTTGTGTTTTAGATCCAGTGGTGGATTTCAAATTTTAAGTCTGAGAATACAATTTCCGGCCATCTAGAGGTGCCATAATCACAAATTTTCCATCTATGAAAGTACCTCCCCGTGCGCCCTCTATTTTGAAATTCTGGATTCCCCGCTGAGGTTCACGTCTAGCTGGCTGCTTCTTCTTTGCATAGCCAGACAAAATAATTCTATTGTCTTCAACTGATTTGAATCAGTAGCTTCATAATGGACATATGTACTAATACTAATTTATATAGCTTATTGAAAAAGGTAATATTTTCAAATGGTAGTAATGAGAAGGTCCATGAATATTTGGTAATAATGAAGAAATAAGAATAAAAAACTTAGCAATTAACAGTGATTAGGTTCTTTATGGCTATATGAGGCTTGTTGTAGTACAAACAGATATCTTAATATTTTTTATTTCGTATTTTGTCAGAATATTTAGTAGGCTCAACCACAGACTTGAAAAATTATAGTCCTCCTGAAAAGAACGAACACATATAATATTGTTTCTGTATTCTTTTTTGTTGGATTGACTGTTGATATGTTTCAAACTAGCAGAAACCCATGACATTTATTTACAATGTCACTTTGTAAATATATTGGCTTGTCCTAGCACACAACTGTGCGGGGCAGAGTAGGATTCAAACCTGGATTTTGGAGTCAAAGATATGAATCGCAACCACAGCTCTAACAGTTTCTTCAGTTCCATTCTGTAATAATTTTTAATTCTATCATCATCTATGCTGGAGCAAATGTTCCATCACTTAAAAGTATTAGTAATTGTCCAATTTATAAAATAATGTCTACGTAAACAAAGTGCTTTTATGAATGCCATCAGCATTTTTACGATGCATTATATCCATTTTTGTCTGGTCAAAATTAAAACATTATTCAGAATGGCTTGAAAAGGTCACATGACAAGTCTGTGGATCGGCGTTATTTTGAGCCAGGTTTTATGACCGCAGTGTATATGTTTGCTAACTACAGTTTTTATGAAATGTGAAAAAAACAAATTATATTGGCAAAACAAAATTGAAATTATAGGTAAAAAAAGTTATAAAAAATATAACTAACAGTTGAAATATATTAGAAGCTGCCATGGGAAAATATCCAAAACTAAAAAGACAAAAAAAAAACCCTCAAATGGTAACAGTATCATTCCAATTCAAGCCAATTTTGGTCAACATATTACTTTCAAAAGAGCTGATAATTTGAATTCTGAAACATCAGCTGTACACCATGGGAATTACTGAATGTTTGCTTCAAAGTTGAAATATTACACTTTGTACCATCTTTAAGCAGTTACCATTTGCAATTGCGCAGTATTGACCTAGAGCTAGGGAACCATTACCCATGGCGGAGTTCAGTTACAGTGGCTTTACTGGCTAGTTTGGATTTATTTTTGCATTTACACTCTGTCAGAGCTAATGCAATCTGAAAACGTCACAAGTGTAATAAAAAAATAAACAACTGTCTTTTGTGCACTTCAAAGAATCCAGAACATCTTTCCTGATGAGATGAGTAGGGGGATTACCCTAGTGTTCTAGTTTAGCTCGCAGCCCCTGTCATTGTGCGTGATGCTGTTGGACCCTTAGTGGAGTAGTAAGTTGTAAGAATGAGTACTCCACATCTGTCTTGTGCCAAAGCTATAAAATTTTAAGTTATCTCTCAATCTCGGAAGTAGATTCCTATCCCTCTTCCCCCCCCCATTTTTTTTTGTGCTGTGAATTGTTGACATTTCACAACTTTTTTTTATCTATAGATGTCCATGTTGATCATCCTGATAAGAAATCTATTTGGATGTACGTTGCAAGTTTATATCAAGTACTACCTCAGCAGCCCGCTCTCATACAGCCACAGCCCACTCGTAATGCTACCAACGGCACCGTCAAACCACCGGTAGAGCACGCCACTTCTCGTGTAAGTATATTTAATCTTTATAATTGGATTTCACTGTAGATTATTTGTTTATTACTAATATTGATTTTTAGGTGTGATTCTTGTTTGTTTTTTCTTTTCTGAATAATGACATACATTGTACGGCTAACCATTGATTTATAATAGTAATGAAAATTTTAACATGTTTTTATAATAAAAACCAATTCATAGAAATTATTGTAGATACAAAAGTTGTGAAATCAGTTTTGTTTGTTATAGAAATGTAGTTAGGCCAACCCATTAATAATTATAATGATATTATAAATGTGTTTTTATAATAACTAATTCATAGAGATTACAGTAGAAAAGTTTTGAAATCAGTTTCATTTTTCATAGAAATGTAGGCTAACCCAATGCTAGTGATACTAATGTGTTTTCTGTTTTTTTAAATTTAAACCAATTCATAGAAATTACAGTGGATAAAACATTTTAAAATCGGTTTCATTTTTCATAGAAATGTAGTTAACATAATTTTATTTCATCAAATCTAGTACTAACGAGTGCCAAAAATGTAAATGCGTGTTTCCTTATAAACTTTTTAAAGACAAACTTCAAATATTTTTTATGCTGTACAAATCAATATTCTAAGATAGTGAAAGGGTGTTTGAAGACATAATCAGGATTTTTTTTTTTAATGGTTAAAAAAATATATTAATACCACAGTTTCCCAATTTTTGAAAATTGAAAAATATTTCGTTAGCCATTTTTTTGCACTCATTGTATGTCTTAGAATATAAATTTTGTAAAATTATTAATTTTTTTTTTTCTGGAGCCAGGCTTTGAATGAAATTAATAATAATTAATAATGGTAAAATTTAACCTTAAACCTATTCTTAATCTTATTAGAGTCAGTAGGGGATTTTAATACTATATATTTTTTTTAATGGTTTACAAAACATTGATGGTGATTGTTTTGGTGAATGTAAGCCGACAGTTAGTAGTATTTGAACCGATGATCTTGGTTTGAAAGGTATGCTACTTGACTGTTGTGCCATAACTGTATGTGTTTGTTTCTTCAAGCAGTTGGTTAACCCAGTTTGCAAGAAAGTTAACATTTCTTAATGTATGATTACATCAGATTTGTATTGCGAAGATTCATTTCTGTGTGCGAAGTTCTGCATGTCAATTACCTTTCTTGATCGGCAGAGGATAATGATAGATTTTACGAGAATATGAATAAAACCATGAGTGTGAAATGTGATAAAATGTTCAGCCTTATATCACAGGAAAATGTAGATGTTACGAATACAGAAAACATAACCGAAGGAGAAAGAATGATTTTCCCATTCAAGTATGGTATGAAAGTAGGTTGTAGGAAGTGTAGGCCAGCAGATTGACAATAATGCCAATTGTTTCTTGATTAAAACAGACCTGGATTTACTGATTATGAAACTTATTTTATCTTTAGAGCCTTCCCCTTCACTCCCACCCACCCCGTTTCGAGAATATTTGAATTTTTATTCTTTTAAGTGCAATATATCTTAAAAGAATAAAATCAATTCATCATCCAGTAAATAACAATTGCAATCAATAATTTTTATAATCCTCATAATTCTTCATGCAGTACTACACAATAATTATATACAGTATAATATCTTGTTTGTATTGTTTTGTCTTGTTTTCCTTTGTCTGTCTCCTTTTCGTTTGTAATCTGTTTGGACTCTGTTCCTTCCCTTGTCAATTACTTTAAGAATGTTTTCCTTTTATCAATTATATTCATCTCTTTCTTCAGATCAATTCAAAATTCTATATTTAAAAAATATAAATAAATAATAGTAATAATAATGTAGACAGATCAATTCAAAATTCTATATTTAAAAAAGTATAAATAATAGTAATAATAATGTAGACTAAGCTATACTATGTTTGTATGATATATAGATTATATTTAAAAAATCAAACAAATAAAAAAAAAAAAAATAAAAAAAAATAAAAAAATAAAAAATAATAATAATAATAATAATAATAAAAATATGTGGCATTATTAAAGACATGGTTATCATGCCAATCCCTTTAAAAATGTAAATATCTTGACTCCTGTATCCCAATGAATGTTTGTAATTCAAAGTTTTTTGGTATTCTAGACACACCTAGTAACTCGATCTTTAGAGTGCCATGTTTAATTCAGGTGTTGGCAATCATGACCTAGCAAATGCTAAGAATTGGCTCATAAAGAGAATTTTAAACCCATCCAAACACACTTTCGAAACACGAATTCATATTTCGTTTACTGCAGTTGATTGTAGACATGTGTTGTCATTTTCTGATGAAATTTGTGGCAAACTTGTATGTTTAAAAATCTAGTTTTAAATCTCTTTATTAATGATATTTAGTAGAATTGAAAAAAAGAGGAGAAATAAATAATTGAAAATATTGTGAAATAATTGGTCTTTGATAATAATTGATATTGTTATAAGATCAATTCTGTATTTGAAACTAAGAATCGCCAACTGGTCTAAAGGAATTTACTCCAGCGCTTGGCACCTAGCCAGCTCATATCAGTAGCCACCACTCATCCTGTATAAAGCGTAACCTGCCTTGATTCTAGCGGTGCGCTTTATACATTGTTGCCAACTTCAACAAGTCTTGGATTTTATCGCTTAATTGCAGTTCATAGAAAAAGCATGTACGTAACGTGGAAAAGAAGTTAGACAATTTAGAAAGGGCATCCCCGGAGTGCTGGACAGGTCGTGATAGACGTGCTGGCACACGCTTATTGATTTAACGATGATAGAAAGTAATGCGGTTATTTTCCTATGACGTATTGATTGAAGCTTGATAAGAAGTTTAATATTTTATGTCTCAATAATAGCAATTATTGTATGAAATCGTGTAAGATGTTGCCTTACCTAAACAATATAAATTTAGTAGTAAGTAATTACTATTTCCAACAGCTGACTTAAATATTTTAACTCGAAAAATACATGAACATAAAATAATATATTGTAGAATACAGTAGCATACATAATGTACTGCATATGTGTTGAATTTAAAGGGGTTATGCTATTCATACTGTGATACAGTATGTGCATAATGCAAACCAATGAATTTTATTTACTGATAATAATCATTCTGATCAGTTCTAGATGATAATGATAATAATAATAATAATAATAGTAATAATAATAATAATAAATTAATAAATTATTAATATATGGCATATAAGACTTACTGTAGATGATCCTTGTACCACAAGATGTAATTTGATATCACTTTAAAGTGATAACTAGAGTGTAATGTTTTATAAACTTGTTATATTTAATGCTTATATATAATGCATTATATAAACATGCAGTCAATAATATTAACATTATTATGTGAACCCATGCATATCATGTATTGTACAAGTGGAACTATCATTTATATTATGATGATTTTGTTAGTAAAAGTATTTTATAGGCAGACAGTAAATTTCACATTATTTTATGTGAACTTGCGCAAGTAATAAATCAAGATTCGAACCTAGCTGTACAATCATGATGGTTGTATTTTAACAGTATTTTTAAAGGGGCAGGCAGCAAATTAATGGAATGTTGGTTTGTAAAATTGTGATTTTAACGTTCATGATTGTAACTTGAATGTGATTGCTATAGCAGTGTGCTTAAATCGGAGTAATTTTCACATTATGTGCTCTCACAGAAATAATGACTGAACATACAAAATACTCGCTCTATGATTGCTGTCGTCTTCTTAATGTGGTCTAGCTTGCGACATTATGCTTTACACAATTATTTCCATTTATCAAGGCAGGATGATTTGTTATAGTGTTTGTGTTCGCATATCCTTCCAAGTCTTTTTTAATTTGACTTTTTTTTAAATTATTATTTATGATAATTGCTGTAGCAGTTATTATTTTTAAAGGTACAGTCAGTAATGCTCAGATCAATTGTATTGGCTCACAGAATAATTTGAACTTGCAGAATTGTCGCTTTGGAATGATTGCTATAAAATCCCGTCCAGCCTATTAAATTTTATTTGACAAAAACATGGGACATGCATAAATATGGTCATGATGACATCACATCATGACCATATATAGGTGCATCAGTACTATATATGGGCATATACAATAGTTTAATATAGGAGCAGTCAGTAATGTTCAAATCATTATGAAAAAAGTCATAATTTAATCTTAATGTAACTATCGCTTTTGAATGATTGCTGTTTACAGTAATTATTGTTGAAGAACGTTGACTCAACAAAAGGTCAGAATTACTATAACATATCTAGGTGCTTGTCAATAAAGAAAATGACTTGTGTGATTAAACATAAAGTACTGTAGATATCAAGAGGTATCAAGACTGCTTAGAGTTTTGAAACTGTTGACAGCAGAATACAAAAAAATTGTATATGTTGATATTGATAAAGAAATGAAATTGATGTGTATGAGAAAAGAAGAGCGTAGCTTAACAAAAAGAACAAAAATAATTTCTTATACAACACCTTTGTATGCTAAGGTTAGCTAATGTACTTGAACAAACAATTAAATATTTAAATTTATTAAGTTACCATTCAAGTGAAAATTAGAAATCTATAGGCCCTAAATAATTGAATTGAAAAAAATCCTTAATAAAAACTTCAGTTAATTTTTAAGATTTTTTATAGTAAAATATCTAAATCAGTGAAAGACGAATAATTGTAATTGAAATGGAAGTTGATAATTCATTTGATATGTTATAAATAAGTAATTCTTTTCTTTTTTTAAAGAATGTTTGAGAGTTACCATATTACCAAAGAAAATCTTTAAATAGTAATAAAATATTTTTCTTTTTATGTGAAAAAGGGTTTCAGTTCTGCAGGGTTTATTATTTCATTATGGGTTATCCATAGAAATGAAAAAAAAACAGACAGGCTTTATGCCGCACTACAGTACCTTCTTAGCCCAAGCAAGACCTTTCTGTCTGGACATGAAAGGAATTATGACAAGTAATTCAAAACGATTAAAGACTTCCTGATTGGAGCACTTGGCAGGCCTAGAGCAACCTTACGCAGGACTACTTAGCAAATATTGTCAAGTAGGAATGTCTCGATAGGGTACAGCTAGCTTCTAGATTCGGTTACATGATTAGGTTCATTAGCCTACAAACAAAAACATCAACAATTTTATATGGATACCACATTTTTGAGAGTTGTAGTTAATACTTCAAAAGGGGCCATTTAGGATTGTTTTCAGGTTGTTGGCCAATAAAGATAGTAGGCCTATGGTTAATATAGTGAAGATAAAAAAAAAATTATAAATAGGAAGAAAAAAAAATAAGAAATAGAAGAATAAGATAGCATTATGGGATGTTGTAAGATTTATTTATTTTTTTTTTTATTATTGTATGTTTTCTAAACATACAAAAAGTTGGTGTAAGTATTATATGCATGTAGTTCTACTTGGTAAACATAACTGTATTCATGATTAGGGGAAAAACAGTTGAAGTGTTTCATCACTGTAATATGTTTTAATATTATAATGTTGTATAACCATAACATTAAATTATGAATTACTATCATGTGATTTATTATTATCCATTGCATATTACCTTGAAAAAAACGTGTCCAAATGGGAAAGTCCAAGGGTGTTTATCACTTGGGCTCATAGCTCAGTTGGTAGAGAATCAGAACGTTAATAAGAAGGCCGTGGGTTCGAATCCCGATGGGGGACATATGTGTTTTCTAAAATATTCATTATCATCCAAAACATTAAAGTACATTAATTACAGTTGAGGTGTTAAGGACTGTATATAATGGTGCCCTTTTGGTTCTATCTGACTTAATATTCTATTTCTCTTTCAAAGCCTCTGTCAACAGATGTAAGTGGCATTGACCTAAAGAAATATCAGATTATGATGGAGAATGTGTTGACTTGGCTTTTAGAGGCCGAAGAACAGCTCCGCTTACAGGAACCCATGTCAGAAGATGTTGATCGAGCTAAAGAACAGTTTCACATGCATGAGGTACTATTACTCATTTTGTTTTACTCTTGTTGATAAACAGAATTTTAGCTTTTATTTTCAACAATAATGATAAAGTAATTAATAAAATTTGATGAACTTTGATTCATAATGCAAGTTTTATTATTAGATATTTAGAAAGATAACATTAAAAATGATATGCAAACATATAAAAATGATTGGAAATTAAATTATGTAATCGGGGAAAAAGCATCTTGTATCTTCTCACACCATCCCCACCCACACATATATATGCATCATCCTATGCAACTCCCAGAGTATAATTCAACTCCCAGAGTATAATTCAGTGAATCTGAATACATTTGTAGATAAACATAACACATAAACATATTAACACACACATACAGGATATAAATAATAGGTACATGTATACAATAAATATGTATACATACACACATCCCAAAATATATTCTTAGGCACAACATACAAACGCAACTACTGCATATCAGACACAAACACATATTAACATTAAAACAAACATACATAAATCAGTGAATCTAAATACGTATGTAGATAAACAAACACATCAACATATTAACACACACATACAGGATATATATAATATGTACAGTACAGGTATATCAGACACAAACACACATTAACATTAAAACAAACATAATTTAAGCACAATTGATATATGAGCATCTGCAAGATTATCTGACAAGCGAGGAGAGCAATTTCTTTAGTTCAATTGCTGTACAGTTCATTTAATAAGTGTATTGCACCTTGCATTGTGTATATATTGCTAATCTGGACATTCTTTCCTTTCCGATTACATTATCCCTAATCCATGTAAATTTATTCAAGTTCCGTCTTGGCTGTCTCCTCTTTTTCAAGCAATGTTGGTGCTGATGTCAGGTCGGAAGGTGTAGTTTGCATAAGGGAATTTCTCTTATTGGAGCATCCAGTTGTATCATCCCTCCCCCCCCCCCCACCCAAAAAAAAAAAAATGCTAAGCAAATAATATGCTGAAGTAGTTAAGGTCACCTACTGTATCACCATTTTTTGTCAGCTAGCACCCTCTAATTTAGTCATCCAGACATCTTGCGTAACCTTTGCGTCCCTCCCCATTAAGGTAGATTCACACCGAATATGAATTTGGTTCGTAGAACGTTTTTGATACACGTCTTAGTACGCGCCTCTATTCTTTACCACTGATACGATATTCTTTTTTCGTTTCGTTAGCCATACGAACTAAATTCAGCTTCGGTGTGAATGCAGTTTAAGACTTCCCTGAGGTCATTGGACAAAAAGTACTGTATTACATTTTCTGATCCCACCAAAATTGTAATTGCGAATATACTGAGGTCGAAGCACATTTTTCATCATAACCATAATAATTATCTTCTTGACAGCAACCAATTTCCTCAATAAATCATCCATTCTATTAGAAACGATTGCTTATTTTTGCATAATTTTTATTTGAAGAAATAGATTCCTCTAATATCCATGTTTAATGGATATGCCACCTAGGATAATGATTGAGTTCGCTTATTGGCATATCCTTGACACTCGTGCCTTAAGAAATGAAATTAAATTTTAATTAAATTACTTCTGAATTTAATTATTTGTAGATTTTTCGACTATCTGTATAATATTCATTGATTTTATACAACACCTAACCGTTCGATTTGTTAATGATACACTATAATTAGATAATCGGTTCTATTCCAATCACTGAAAAAAGTACATCACATAGCTGAGGTTACTTTATGTTAATTTTCTGTTGCATTTCCGATTTCAGCATTTAATTTTAGGTACAGTATAGAAATGGAATAGCATTTTCCACTTTAATTTGTAATCTGTGAGAAAAAATGTCTTAAATTATTATCTTAAATAGAGGGTTTATTAAAACTTTTTTTATTGGTCGCTTTCATTTATTTATTTATTTCTTTCGTCTTTTTACTGCATGCACTTTCAGTACGTGTGTACTATTTTTCAAAGTAGCATAGTTGCATATTAAACAAATATTGAAAAGCAAATGCAAGTAACATAAACATAATTAAGAGAGTTTCTAAAAGATAAAGTTGTCATGTTCATGAAATTAGTTGTTGTGTCATGTGGAAGATCACTCATGTTGTTGTGTCATGTTGTTGTGTCATGTGGAATGATACAAAATAGTTCTCTTGCCTTGACGATTACTCCATTGTGGTACAATAATGTTATTACTAGAAATTGCAAATTGCAAGTGAAGTGCTGCGAAGTAAAACTGCATAAAATGTTCTTCGAACAAAATTATTTATGCGAGTCAAGTGAAAATAATGAATAATAAAAATATAACAAATAATATGAGACACGACCCATTGTCTATATTAGAACAGCGTTGGTACCGTGTACAATAGTGTTTTGCTGAAGTGACATCTCGCTGCTGGCGACTCGCTGCTGCTGGCGAATCGATCTGCGCATGTGTATAAAATGTATTTATTTCCGAAAACACTATGCCAGTCTACAGCAAGCGTCGCCTAAATGTAATAATTAGCACGTTGAAATAGGCTAGTAAATAATTTTAACTGGGTTCGTAAATAATATTGGCCTCAAAATATTGTGGCTGAGACATGAGCCTTTTCCAAATTCATGATATTTCCATGTTTTTACTTTTACTTCATTTGTGATCTCCCTGAGACCATGTTGTGATGGGCACATATGCAAATAAATATTAGATATGTTCAGAAAACTCATTTAACCAGATCTCCTAGAAATGACTTCTTTCAACTTAGGACCCTTGCTTATTTAACCAATAAATATAACTACTTCAATATAAACTATATGGCATTGCTTTACTACTTCAGCTATGAGAGGGTTCACAGAAAAACTAAAATATAATGTTAATCAAAATTATGTTTGATGAATGAAATTGGAGAATTGAGACAAAATCATTTTTAAAATGTTTATGTGCAATCTTTTTCAATATTAGGACTTCATGATGGAACTCACTGATCACCAGGGAAGTGTCGGTGACGCCTTAAAAAACGGAAACCAGTTGATATTAAATGGCGAAATTTCAGACGAAGTTGAAAACGAAATACGAGAACAAATGAGCTTATTGAATAATCGATGGGAAAACTTAAGAGTTTCTGCAATGGAAAGACAATCACAGTAAGTTCTAATAATGATTATCATTATTTATATCATTTAATTAGCACCTTTCCTTGTAGCACACATCCTATTTTGTGGATACAAAACACTTCTTTTCCTTGATTATTGTGTCCACATGCTTTTAAGTGTTGCTGCTGGTAAAAAGTGCAGGAACAGGCAACCCCACCTGGTACCCATTTATGCTCCTGAGTGGAGAGAAGCAATGCAGGGAAAGTGCCTTGCTCATAGACACAAGCGAAGTGTACCAGGAGGGATTGAAACCCCGACCTCGAGGTTTGGAAACCAAACTGTTTCCGCTACGCCAAACCGTTTCTAAATAATAAAAATCCAACTTTTTTTTTCTTTGTGTGAAATCTTTGAGTTGTGTTGTATCGAAGTTCATGGTAATTGCTATGTGAAGGTTTTTAATGATTTTAATTAAGATTTAGATGACGACAATTCACTGAATAAGTAAGTTGGCCACATCCTGCTCGATAAATTACCTGTACCGATAAATCTTTTTGCCAACTAATCTTCTTACCAACATCTTCTCCCAATAAGTCCCCATCCTCATTAAATCCTACCTTTCAGTAAATTACCATCCCCAATAGTTTCCTTCCCAATTAACCAATTTCAGAGCCAGTGACAGTTATTACAATATCTTTTTAAGGTGGGGGTGAGGGAAGGGGTAGTATAACACATTTCTGAAATCACCAATTTTATTGAAAAATTTCAGTTCTCGTAAATTGGTCTGTTGTCTGAAACAAAACTGAGTGTCATTTCCATTTGGGAATGCTTACTCTATTCTTGAAATCTCTACCACTGTTCCCAGTTAACAGTAAATAACATAATTTCATCTAGTTTGATATTAATGTATGCAAATTTCAACTAATCATATAAAAAGAAATATGCATATGCAACATTTCATATGTTTTTATCAAAATTACATTTTACTCTATAGTAAAATGTAATCAACTATATAGTATTAGTAAAGACATACATTTGGAAAAGCATGATACAACATTTCTGATCATTATATTATTTTGATGATACATAGTTTTGCATTTAGAAGTTTCATATTGTCAAACAGAAAACAAATTTCCAGTGAATGTTGGACAATAAAGTTATCTCATCTTTCAGAATATAGCTCTTTAATCTTAATGCTGTATTCTATAGCATGCTTCACTGCAGACAAGATAATGTTTAATGCGAAAAATATAATATTAATTTTTTTTTATTAATTTTATGCTCTGAAGATTTATAATTTTTCACGATTATTAATGACATGGTTTTGGCTCTTTCATCATTGAAATTCTTCCCACCAGCATCTTGCTTGTCGACCTTTGTGAACTGATGACTTTTATTGTTGCCACTCAATATTTATTTTTTCAACTTGCATCCTTGGTATTAAGATTGAGTACTTATAGGACAACAATCAAAATATACTTAAATGTCAAATGCCAATTTAACTGTCCACCCTTCACTGTGATTTCGAAGTTTCTTCTCTCCTTTTCACACGTTAATTCAAGGCAAGACTTTTTTTATACCTTGTTTCACAAACATAATTTTTTTTAAATCATCAGAGGAGGGCAGAAAAAAATATAAATAAAATTTTGTTTTCTTATTTAACAAATGGTTTTGCCAAAAACATCCAGATGGAGGAGGAGAAGAAAGTAAAAATAAAGTTTTATTGGTAAATGTGAACAGTGTAGTAATGGGATGGTCAGTTGCTTAAAATTTAAATAATTAGGAAGAAATATATGTATCTTATTTTTGGAGATTTCAAGGCAGAAGCTGGCATAATAAAAAAGAAAACTTTTATTTTGTATGAAATTTCCATTTCTTTGTGGTGTGGCTGCGGGTGTGCTAAATTGGCCAAAAATGAAATTTTATTTTTATTTGAAATCATTAATGGTGGGCGGTAGGTTCTCTAAACAAGATATAGAACAAGTCTCGTCTAAAGATTGGACAGTTGATAATTCAGAGCATCTTTAATTTAGGATAGCATGTTTAGATTAAAGTCACAATTCAAACATGCTGAAGTAATATTTAGATGAAATTCATCCTCCGTATTCACAATGTAAACATCATGATCTATTAGATTACTGTACGGTGTAGCAAAACAATGTACAGTATAAAATAGAACGTAGCAGATAGTTTGTGTTTCAAAGCATCTTTAATAGTATTGCTTGTTTAGATTAAAGTCACAGTTTAAACATGTCAAAGTAATATTTAGGTAAAATTTATCATCCTTGTCATAATGCAAAAAAATATCCTGATATCTTTTACTACTCTATGTACATTGACATCTATGGAGGTAGATTAAAATTCATCATCCTTATCATGATGCAAAATATCCTGATATCTGTTACTACTCTATGTACATTAATATCTATGGAGGTATAGAATTGGACATAACTGATTGTTGGTACATTTTCATAATTGTCACATGACTTGGTGGGACTTACTCTAATTATTGTTTACTCTATTTATATCTGAACAGGTTACACGAAGTGCTGATGGATCTACAACAGCAGCAATTAGATGGCTTGGGCGAGTGGCTTACAAAAACAGAGCGGAGTATCACTACACAAACAAGCATTGGTTCGAGCTTAGAGGAAATCAAAGCACAGGTTGATCAACATAGGGTAGGTGAAGGTGACATGTGCAGACTAGAAATACCCTTACTGTAAAGCAAATTATCATAAATTCTTTCTTGCATTCGAGAATACAGTATATTATTTAGAATCTGGATCAAGTAATACTAATAACAATGTGTATACTTACAAGACACATTTGTTGGACCTTTATGCACTTGAAAAACAAGAAATTTATAGAAAAATTATAGCCTACAATCCTTAAAAAATTAACAAATCATCAGTAAAGACCTAAATTCCTATAAGTAACCACAGAAATTTGTAATCGGAACCTATAATACATTTATATTTTTCATTGTTTATAATAATTATGGATTTTAATATTCGGTAATGTTGTGTGATTTTAAATGTTTGCCAGTTTTGGAATGCGTTCCCTTATTTTTGACAATAGCTAATGTTCATAAATTCACAGTATATTTTTTAGAATCTGAGTCAAGGACCTTTTTTCACTTGACAAAATGATAACCATTTAGACTTATAAAAAAAAAGTATAGTCTACATTCCAAAAAATATAAAAACAACTAAAAATCATCAATAAAGACTTAAATTCCTATAAATAACCAGTGAATTAAACTTAGATCATTCAAATGAGTTGTCTTTAAGATGCAGATTGTAATAGTCTGTTATGTTTTTAAAATATAATATATAAAATAAATATATCTGAATGTCCTCAAGGTGTAAAATTTTGTTATTATTTAATTTAAACTGTCATAAAATATTTGCATTTTTTGTAATCTAATGTATTGTCTAGTATAATTCTCAGTGCTGTTCAATGTCATGCAAAATCTTGAAAAACATATTTTTTTTTGGCATTGCTTTAAATTATTTTATCAGACTGCTTTTATAAAATTAGGTCAGATGATAGATAAGAAAATGAAAATGATTTTTTTTTGTGGTTTTTGTTGCAGCATTTACAGGAAGACTTAGAGCAAGAACAAGTGCGTGTAAATTCCCTCACACATCTCGTGGTCGTCGTGGATGAAAATAGTCCTGAAAATGGTATGTTCATTTAAAATCATAGATAATAGCAAAGAATACCATTCTACTGCTCGTGTAAATGTGCAACAACTTTGATTGGTCGAAAGTTTGTATGATGTGATCAAATACTAGTCTTCTACAGATTTAAAATGACATGCTAAACTGTCAGATGCCTATACATACAGCATATATTCTGATACATCACAGCCAATTAAAAAAGGAGCAAAATTTGTACTTTTTGTTTGTCTCTTGTACTTTGTTGTTGCTGTTGAACTTGTGTTGCCAATGGTATACTTAAGCAGGGGTCCCAAGATGGAAGATGTCATTTATGAGTGATCTGTTTAAACAAGCATTCCTAGACTTGGGAACCCCTGCTTAAATTGTTACAGTTGTGCTTTGGTTGTCACTGTTGTGCTTGTGTTTTCATTGTTATACAGGTACCTGTGTTGTTACTATTGTACTTGTGTTGTTGCTGTTGTACTTATGTTGTCACAGTTGTATTTACTTTGTCATTTTTTGTCGTGTGTTTTCACTGTTGTGCTTGTGTTTTCATTGTTGTGATTGTGTTGTCACTGTTGTGCTTGTGCTTTCATGTTCTACAAGTTTGTGTTGTTGATGTTGTACTTAGGTTGTCACAGTTGTATTGGCTTTGTCATTGTTGTACATGTGTTTTCACTGTTGTGCTTGTGTTTCCTTTGTTGTGATTGTGTTTTCTTTGTTGTTTATGTGTTTTCACTGTTGTGCTTGTGTTTTCATTGTTGAGATTGTGTTTTCATTGTTTTGTTTGTGTTGTTCTTGTGTTTTTATTGATGTGTGTTTTTGCAGTGTACAACTTGTGTTTTCATTCTTGTGCTTGTAATTCCTAATTTTTAAAAACTAGTTACAAATATTTGTTATTCACAAAAGTATAAAAATGATTACACATATCATTTGAAAGATCAACAATATAATTACAGGTAATGAATATTTTTATCTTATAGCAACAGCCCTTCTTGAGGAACAGTTAAACAGTCTAGGGGAACGTTGGGCTAAGGTCTGCCAGTGGACTGAGCAACGATGGGCTGTACTTCAGGAGGTGTTACTAAACTGGCAGAAACTGGAAGATGAGGAGAAACGATTTGAAGATTGGCTCAGCTCCAAGGAAGCGCTGCTTGCCGAAATGCAACACGTTGATTTCAATGATTCAAATGCTACTATGCAACAAGTTAATAAATTGAAGGTAAATTTTCTTGTATAAATATACTATCTATATTTGAATGTGAAAACCCCAAATAAAATTGAGTATCAAGATTAATTATGTGTTATTAATTCCTGATGAAACATAGATTGAAACAATTCAGTTTTGCCAACTTTTTAATATCTCTTCCTTTGGGTTTATTTATATGTTTTTACTGTATTTTCTAATCATTTCTATTTTTAATTTGGGCAACCTTTTTTGTATTGTTGTTTTTGTGTGTTGAAATGTTATATGTAGTATGTTTCAATTCAATTTAGTTCTATTTTTCATTAAGGGTCTATGTCAATATATGAACAGTATTATGTATTTGCCTAAAATTTAATTTTGTGAAAATATGCCTTTTAAAGTTTTTAGTTAGTAATTCAATTGTTAACATTTTTTTTTTTATCATTATGTTTCATGTGGTTCCTTGTTCAAATCTCAGTTAAAAGTTTGTTTCTTTCATTAACTTCTATTGGTTGAAAGCACATATAGACCTAGTATTATGCGCAAATACAAGTATACAGCCATTGCCATTACTAAGTACCATTTTACAAATCACCAGAATAAATTAAAAGAAATATTTTATGTGTTGCTGAACACAACACTGAAACACATATTTGAGGCTTTAGCAAATATGTTTTCTTTAAATGTTGCAAAAAAAAAATCTTTTATTGCGAAATCCACAGTAATGCCTTCTCGTATATTTTATGTCTAGACAAAGGGACATTTTTAAACCCATTTTTTGTTTTAACATTTTTGACTTCATGTGGGCATTACTCAGGTCAGTAGACCATATCTCAATCTATTCAAAAATGTTGAAGTATGTTGTTTATATGTGAAAACAAGTAAAACAAAGGAATACAAACCACAGAGCAATGCACTAATTATAGGCCTAATACTATAACTTAACCAATACAACATTATTTTTGTTTTTAGGATCAAAGGTCTAAAATGGAGACTCAAGAATCTAGTATTCTAGTTGTAACTTTATTTTTGTTTGGAGGATGTTTTTTTGGCCATCCTGACTTCATATTACATATGTTTTACAAGTTATTTGGGTGAGAATCGAACCCACATCCTCCCGATAACCAGTTTGTTTCATAACCACTAGACCACTGAGCTTACCCGAGCGTGTTCAAACAAAAAATGGGGTTCATTTTCACAAATATTTGTGGACGTACTGAGTATTATACATTATGGTAACACATTGACAAGTTGGGTAAAAACATAATTCTTTTTGTGTTTCCTAATGAACATTTTTTGTTTATTTTGAAGGTTCTTGAGGAAGAACTAGAAGAACAGCATCGGGAGTTTGCCCGGCTCAATCGCAGCTCTGGTGATGTCATCAAACACTTACCCACCAACAGTAAAGCTACAATAAACATACAAAATAAGTTGGAAGAGTTCGCTCAGAAATGGGACAATATTGTTCAGAAGGTGGAACACAACTCAAAACAGGTGAGACGATGATCATGTGATCCATTTTACAGCTGCAGCGAGTTTATTGTGAAAACAAAGACTGAAGGGTAAAAGAATATATGGCAAAGACAAGCCAAGCCAGTCACTCCTTGCAAAAATTGATTTTTATTTATTACTACATAGTTAACCAGTAAAATTAGAGCTATAAACTGGTAAAAGAATCTATTAAATCCGACATTGTGTTTTGAAGTTACAGGAGCTTAATAAAGAAGCAGCTGTTTAAAAAACAATGTTTGAGAAATCAGCCTTCAAAGTTTACAATTTTTGGCATTTCTCAGGCAGAAACCATCACCAAATCATAAAAAAAAATTGTTGTTTTAACATTGAAAATGGAGAAAATAACAACATCATTATATATAGATATATAAAGGTTAGTTTAGTGCAATAAAATAGATTTCAAAAATGTTGACATTCCAGCATGTTTTGGCCATTATCTCTAAAAAATGGTTTGCGACGAGTGACATGTTTGGCTTGTCTTTGACACATATGTCATATATGGTAGTAAAAATGATCATAATAAAGAGGTGCTGATAAAATGTGAATTGAATAAATAAAAATAATTTCTTTTATCTCAATGATTTAATACACCAAGTACTGATATAATGTTTTAGGGACATTAGTTTTTATTTGGAACTAGAGTTTTCAATGACAGTACTGTATGTCTGCATGGCAGTTAAAATTATGGAATCAAGTAGATTTGTATTATAAAGATTTTTTTTTTTTTTTTTTTGCATAATCTTAATCTTAATATAGTCAGTGCTGTTATAGTTTTACTAGAGGTTTTGATGTATAATATCGTAAGCAGAGCAGAAGTATTATCTATAGGCATACATGATTTTATTAACAAATAAATATTAAATGAAAGATTGAGGACAGGTAGTGATAACAAACAAGCTTATTTGTTGTTCATCTGTATTCTTTAAACAATGTCTGGTCTAATAGCTTTCGGAATGGTCACCAATTATGTCTACATTATTATAGAAAGAAAAAAGGGAAAGTAAAAATCCCTACTCAAAGTAACATCAACTAAATATCTGATTGAAAACAGGATTTATAAGGTCATCTATAAAATAGAGCATTAGTCATGTGACCTAAGCACGACCTGGCCGCAACCTTAAATTATGATATCACAGCTGGAGTTCTGCTAGGTGTTACCTCTACAGGAGAAATCTTGTTTTTCAGATTAAACAGACACTTTAACCTAGTCTGAATATATTAGCGTTCATGACAGCGTACTGGAAAAACTGGAAAAGGCGCTGTGCAAAATATTAATTTTGATTGTTTAAGTGTTTTTGGAAGTAAATGATTTCTTGTCTGATGTACTGATAAGTCTTTTTACAATCAGTATTTTGATGGTCTGCTTTCCTCCATCTATCCTATGTTTTGTAAACTAATTTCACTAGTTCTATTTATTTAACTGTTTTAAAAAAGAAGTCCTTTGTAGTTATGATTTGAACTCTACTTATGACTTATACTAATGCACTCACAATAGTCATATCCCATTGAAATGATAGTATATCAACAAGCAGGCCATGTTAGAGGCGTTTAACTTTCTTTATTTGTTACAGTATTGCAGTGATATTTAAGTGATAAAAAAAAGAATTGTATTTTAATATTGTATGTAGGCCTACAATTTAGTTTGTGTATATCTGCATATTTTGTCGGTGCTTGTGTAGATGAATCTTCATCTAGTTCTTTTTTGATTACTTAACTTGTAATTCAAACTGTATTTTTATATTTTTGTAATTAAGTTGAACGTACCTTTCTTGTGTGTGCCGGCATTTCGAAGTTGTATGTTTGCAAAGTAAATAAATAAAATAGCCGCCCTCATGTTGAAGCCATTTAACTGTCATTGAGCATATTATTGTTGACATACACACGACAACTGAGAGTCATTGTTTTATACTGTAGATTTTTGTCAAAAAAAGTTAGGATGATACTGTATCTTATATTTAGCAGCCAAACAATACTAACTATAGGCACGTTCAGGCGAGCCAGAAGTAAGCCTTGAAGTAGTAGTTTACTTGTAAGCCCTAGGTAGTGCCCATGAAGACGCTCTTTGTATTGTTACTTCAACCTTACTATAGACGATTTACTCCTGAGCAGTCTTAGGAGTAGCTGTGCTACTTCGGTGTACACAAGAAAGATAAGGAATACGTGCTCAGAGAAGCACTGTGATACCTACAAATGAAGGCCACAATAACATTTCCTTTGTAGACATGATGTTTTCATAATTGTTTACAATTTCCAAAAAAATATGTGCAAAATAACAATAAGAGACTGCCAAGTGGTGACTATCACTTCCGGAGTATTTGCAAAGTTACTTCTAAGCTTTGAACAAATTGTACTGGGTAAACATCGTGTGGACACTCATCAGAAGTAACGCCTGCGTAAAATGTTACGCTTGTCGTAACTTTATTTGAGACGGAAGGTTGTCTGAACACAACTAATATTTAACGTTTCTCTTAAGTAGTTTTGGTTATTTTTAATATATTTTTTTTCTCTCGTAGGTTGCCGAGCAAAGTAAACTCAATGCCATCACTGTTGTTGATGGAACTGATTCCGAAATACGCATCACAGAACCCTTGATCACCAACTCCATACACCAAACGGTTCATATGTCACCGGTTGAGATCAAATCCATGTCCCTGAAACGAGCCCCAGAGGAAAGCGCACTGAAGAGGCAGTTTGACAGTGAGCTGGGGAGTCTAGTGACGTGGTGTGATGATGTGGAGAGCATGCTTCTTGATTCGCAGGCTCCTACAGGTCTAGATGCAGATCTGAATCGACAGATTCAGCAATTTGAAGTAAGTTGTTTTAGGACGGTATTACGAGGAGTATTTGAAATGTATCAACTTTTATTCTATTTTGTTTGTTTAAACTGCATTAAAGACAAAGCCTTTAAATTACATCACAAACAGCAGAACACTGCTAACAGTTGACAACCACAAAAAAAAAATTAAAAAAAAAATGAATGAATGTCATATTACATTATTCATTGACAAATCATCTCTAACTAGCAAAGTTTTAAAGCTATTGTAAGATAAAAAGTACTTATTATTTTGATATTCTGTTATACCTATTTTATATAGGACTTAGAAAGAGAACTTGATGATAAAAAGAAACGAATGAAACAGGCTACAGAACTTGGGAATAAACTTGTTTTAGCCAACAAAGAAGGTAAGTGGTAATATTAAAACATATTTGGATAATTCCTAGTAAATAATATTGTAAGATTTAGTGTTGGTAAAATGTAGATTGAATTTACATGTTTTGTTTTTCTGATCATAATTTCCTATTTTTCAGAAGAAGATGTGAAAGAATCTATAAAGGATACACTTGAGAATTTCATCGAACGATGGGATGATATTTGTACACTCCACAAAGAACGAAAACTTCTACTAAACAATGCTACCCTTCACCAAGAGTTCCTAGATGAATTACACCATATAGAAAACACCCTGAGGGAGGTAGATGACTGGCTGGAAGAGCAAGCACCAGCTGATAGTAATGTACAGAAAATAAAGTTACAAATAGATGAATGTCAAGTGAGTTTTCTGTTCTTCCTCCCTCTTTTTAGAAAGGTTGTTTATTAATTACATATGCATGTCATCTAGGATAACTTGTACTGTGTACAGAACTATATTTACTTATATACTGCCCTCTATGTCTATTATTGCATCTATAAAACCTTTATTTTTACAATGCAAACTGTTGGATTATGAGCTCTTTACATGAGTTATGCCTAGAATGAACATTTATAATAATCCATTTCACATAAAATCAAAAAGTTTTCTTTTGTTATCCTCTGATCATAACAATTAATAGTCCTAACATTTCTGATAAACAAATTCATAAAAATTTTGGTTGTAAATAAATATTAATAGCAGGCTTGCAAATTGTAAAAATACACTCCACTTGTTTTGAGTAGCAAATACAATAGGAGTAAGATGCACTATATTATCACAATTTAAAATGACAATAAAGGTGAGGTATGAAAGAAAGCTAAATTGTAGGCAGTTGGCGTATAACTCGCAGTGTCATTGTGCTGAATTGTGGTAATGTATTTAACACACTTTAATGTTCATCAGTAAAATGAAAGGTTAAAAATGTGTGGTTAAAGCTGTATAAAACTAAGTGTGGGTGATAGACATTTTAAGAGTGTGTGGGCAGTAACATTGGTAAATTCCAGATAATAAGAGTGGATTCTATGGATGGGCAAGGTGGAAGATAAAGGTGGGTGAAGGGCCATGAAATAAGCTTTAGACTAAGCAGAGAACGTCAAGGCTGAGTGGCCTCATCCAGCTCATTCCACCATAACTATATAAAGACAATATTTATGAGTCCTATTTTTTTTTACAGAAACAACAAAAAGAAATGAGTTCACAACTTCCATCTTTGAACAAAATTAACTCTATAGCAACAAAACTCGAGTCTCAGAATTCGAGTCTTGTGCCTGTAGTGAAAGGAGACCTGAATATTGTCAAAGCAAGTTGGGAAAGGTCAGAAACCAAGCTGCAGACACGTGAAATGGAACTGCAGAAAGTTCTTGAGAGTGTGCCATCTACGGATTACATCGAGGCCATGAAGGCTCTCTTGCATTGGCTTGAAGGTGTGGATAAGGCTTTGAAGTCCGAAGAGTTTGTAGTATCTGACCAGGATACCATGGAAGAGCAGGCACAGAAATATAAGGTAGAATTAGATAGAAGTTTTCTTCTTGTTAGAAACAATATACTTACATGTGACATTACAGTGACTATCAGTCAGCCTGTGTGTGATCTGTTCTCTGATTTTGAACACCTTAGTCACATGTGAAAGTTTATAGTTTCTAACAAAAACAAATTTCTTCTATCCTTTCTTCAAGAAACAGGTAAACTTTTTCAAAGGATATGGTAGAACTTGTCCAGAAAATAGTGGTAGATTTTTTTAAAGAATTGTAGATAGCAATTTTTGTTTATAGCATTTACCTTAGTTAATGAGGTATTGATAATAAATAATAATAATAATGGTCGATTATATAGCGCATGTTGTAGAGACCTTTATGCGCTTAACACTATTATCCCCGGTCATTGAATCAAGCACATATTGAACACATACTCAGGTCTCTGGGGAGAATTCTATAATGCTGCAGCTGTAATCAGGTACCTATTTGTGCTCCTGGGTGGAGAGAGACAACCGTAGGTATGTCTTGCCCATGGACTCAAGCAAAATACACAGCGAGGGACCTCGAGTTTGAGAAGTAAAACTGCAACAAATGTGCCAAACCGCTCCCACCATTACTAATAATCAACTTATAAATCAAGCAGTTTATTGTTGTTACAAATGTATTGCTTCATATCTGAGCATATATGTTGTCACTTATTTTGTTAAAACTTTCAAGTTAATTTTGAAATTTGATTGCTCTACTTCACAGGAACTTCAGTCAACCATCAGCCAACAACAGACGAATTATGATTATGTAACCAAAATGGGTCGTGATTTGACGAGACGATTTCCTGGCTCTGTGTCAGCTACTAATGTTCAAGCTGACCTCGATCGTCTGCAAAGTCAGTGGCGGGAAGTGTCTAGCGTGGTTGATGAAAGGCAGGGTAACTTAGAGACTGTGCTTGGAGAGTTGAAGCTATGGCAGGTGAGCTGGCCACATGACTAGGAACATACTGAAATTAAAATACTTCACATTTTGATGTGAATCATACTTCTTAGGAAAATGATAGTAAAAAAAAATGGTAATATTAATTGTAATTGTGAATTTCAAATACAGCCAAAGAAAATGTGGCCATTAAAAGAGGAAAAAGAGGAATACAGGCTTGCCATCCCAAAACTAGTGTACTGTCGCTGGATGTTGATCTGAGTAATAAGCATAATGTGGCAGTATTGTATAATACTTTAGAGAAGCTTTTATTCTTTTACTCATAACTTTTGCAATAGTAAGTCAATTCCAGCAAATGACCCATCATTTTAAAGCTTAAAATGTGGGGAATATGAATATAAATTAAGTCAAGTTTCTTGTTTTGGTCACTGATGTTAGTTTTTGGCATGGCAAGCCAGATATAATTACAATTACATCTGGGATGGGCATCTAAATAATTGATTAATACAAGTAAATATACATACATATATGTATGTTAAAATTTATTTTTGGTTATTTGAAATATAACTGTAGGATATACTTTTAAAATAATTTTACAAATGTTTTATGTTAATATTTAGGAGGAAGTTAATGGGCTTAAGAGTTGGATGGAGGCTGTCAACAAGTTCTTGTCTACTGAAGATGTTGCATTTGGAGATGCCGGTCTCTTACAAGCCCAACTTGACCAGAACAAGGTTAGATTCAAAATACCAAGTTTACTTAGATTTTAGAGCATAACAATCAGTGAAGAGATCATAACAATTTCTTCATCATATTTTTTTGAATAAAAAAAAATGTGATTAAATAATTGATTGATAATTCTTCAACTTAAGGTAGTGTAATTGTACCAAGTATCGAAATGCATGCCATCTTGTCGGGATTCAATATTTTGACATTACTGGATGGTGGGCATTTCGATACTTGGAGTATGTATTATACTACATCTTATCTGAGATTAATCAGTAGACCATTCAGTTTTTTAATCAAACTTTTTATAAAAGAAAATTAACTTAAAGACCTCCATCGTACAAGCATATTTTTTGAAATAAAAGCAATTAAAAAAAATGTCCATATTATTTACAATGACCCAAAAATGTATTTTAGCACAATTTGGTTTCCATTGTAACTTAAACTTTCTACATTTTTTTTTTTTTTTTTTAACATTTTCTAGCTCTGTATTTAGTGATTTTAATATTATACTGCACATTGTAGTAAGTCCTTCCACACGGCTTTGGACATAAATGACCAAGTGTCACCACTTTTGAAATTTACCAGTTTAATAAGCTTTTTCAGAATATGATCCTCCACTTAATCCTTGTAATCCCCTTCTGATCACCTTGTAATCTCAATTAGATTATGTTCTAATTCTCTTACTATCTCCTTTTTAGGCTCTGCATACCGACATTGGTACACTACAGCTAAACACAAACAGTATTAATGAACTCGGTAAAAAATTAGCAGCAACAGCTGAACCAGAGTTTGCAGCCAAGATGACATCTGACCTCAGCAAGCTAAATGCCGAATGGTCCAGGATATTGTTGCTTACAAAAGAACAGCACGAGAGTTTGGAATCTGCGCAGGCAAACCTATTGAAACTAAAGGAGGACATGGAAAAGACGAGGGAATGGATTGCAAGAATCAACAAAGATTACGGCCAACAGGACGTCTCGGCATTGGACTCTGCAGAAATTCAGAACAAAATTAAGATATTGAAGGTAAACTTTTTGTTTGTAATATTAATTCTCAAAGAATTTCATCTGGTTTTATAAAATGTTTAGTTGAAGTTAACAATCTCTTTATAAACCAAAATTAGCTAGACAAACATGGGAATATGATTCATATTGAGGCATGATACATGACGACACTACAACATTATGTCATTCACATGATCAAGGCTACTGAAACCGTAGCTGAAACGTAGCCAGTAAGTCTACTTAATTTTTCCTTTCCTCTCCTCTGAAATATGGTGCTTTTTTTTTTGATTGACATATTTGTAAAATTATCTTTCAGATGGGTCAAGATGAGTTGAGAAGCAAAAATCCTTCTCTTTGGAGGAATCGGCATCTGGATATCATTACTAAAGCCTCATTATCTGCTAATGATAATCTGAATTTAGAACTTGCAACCTTGGAAAAAAATTGGAAATTGGAAATGAACAAACTAGAGTCCAAATGCAAGGTGAATTTGTTTTTAAGTTTGGTAATTAAATCTTAATGCTTATTAGAGCTATAGAAGGACCCCAATGGAAATAATTTGGAGCTTTCGTGGGTTTTCCTTGCCGGGTTTAATACTTTTAAACATCATAACAAAAATGTGTATACAATAAATAATTAAATATATATTCGTTATTCTGTTATATTGCCTCTTAAAACAAAACTGTAAATAATTGTCAGAAATAAAAGGTTTGCCAATTACTGTAGGTCAATACATAGCTGCACCCAAGAGTATGTCCAGGAATGTATACATGGTGTATTAGGAGTTGTGATATCTGTTTGGTTAAAATAATTCTAATGTTAATGGAAATAACATTGCTTGTTATGTTGATGTATTGTTTTGGTAAGAAAAAAATGTATTATTCTTCAGTTGATATTTAGGAAAGGTATTGATTTTTGCTTTGATTGTTTATTTGCCAAATCACGAATCAAAATATTATTTTTTACTACATTGTTCAGATTTTAACAGAGGCAGGCGAGAACTGGAAGAAGTTAAAGAGGTTATTGTCGGAAGAGTCTACTTGGATGGATGGTTTCTCCAAGAAGCTTGACAACCCTTCAGCTAGTCTAGATGCAGAGGAAATATCCGAAGAGATTGATGTGAGTTCGAACAGTTAGTAATGTTGAGTGGAGTTTTTAGCTTGGTGGTTTTGCTAGGAGGTAGGACAATAACCCCAAACTTGCAGCGTCATTGTGCTTAATTGTGTATCGGTGTGGTCCGTGACTACCTAACCACCGTAAAAGGCGCTTATTATAGCTACATATTCACATCATTCCACGATGAAAGGGGCTGAAATGTACCATAGCATCGGGGTAAATTCCCCTCCCCCACTCTTCCGAAAGATGAAATTGGTTCTTTAAAGTGTACACAAGCCAGATGTGTACACTGTACCTCCCGTATCCGAGAAGATGTGGTTCTACCAACCAAACCTTGTTCAGGGAGCAGTGCAAACCCATGAGGATGTTAAGGCTAGCGGTGCCTTGCCTTACCGCTCAGCTACTCAACTTACCTAATACGCTTGTCTTCAAGTCCCACGGTTTAAAACAACTCCACCCCCTATGTCTCATATAAGTCAATTACTCTAAATGCTCGAATAAGCGCCGAGGTGCTTATAAAGTTTTTAGAGGCTTCAATGCGGCACTTATTCGAGAGTGGCGCTCGCTTATTCGTGGGCGGCGCTTCTAAAAAAATATTGCCGTGGAGCTTTCCATGCCCGTTCCAATGTTACCTATCTTACGTATTCCCATAGTTCAGTAGGCCTATCATAGGTCCATGGGATCGTAAATAAAGTTTATAAAGAAATGCTTGTGTCTTCATTGTGTTATTTATTTACTTTAACACTGTATACATTATATTTAAAAGCCTGTTTCTCAAAGTGTTTCATTACGCGCAAGGTGGTAATATATATTCTCGATTAAAAGCCGCGGCGCTTATTCGAGAGTGGCGCTTAGAGAAAAAAATCATGATTGGTGCAGTGCTTGTTCAAGAGCGGTGCTTCTTCGAGCAGAGTTCATTGTTTATGCTCTAGGCCTATACTGGCAAATCTACTTGTGAAAAAAACAGTTTTTATAGTGCTATTAATCAAATACTAAATACTGTGAACAGATCTTATCAGTGTTAAGGGACAGGGTAATACTCCAACATGTAATTTGCTCAACATTTGAATACTACTGAATTTGACAGAAAATATATGTAATTTAATATTTCTGGGATTGAATATAAATGTTTTCTTGTTTTCTAATTACTTGAAGCTTTTCTGGATCAATTCTTCTTTACATGGAAATTGTCTCTCTAAAGGATTAAATATTGTCAAATTGATTGGATCACAAATCACATCAGATTCATAATAAAGGAATAATAAAATATTATTTTAATGGGTCGTTAAGTGTTCTCTTTCAAAACAGCAATCATCATTAAACTTTGTAGCAAAATTATAAATTTTGCTACATTTTGTGGATGACATTTAGTTATGACTGTAAAAGCAAAAAATTTTTTTTTTTAGGTGCTGGAATCTTCTCTCCAAAAACATGTTGTGGAATATAAAGATCAAGTAAACAGTATAGCAAGAGGTCTAACAGAACAGAACATCATGGTTGCCAACGTTGAAAGAGAAGTCCAGCAGTATAATGTTCGTTCAGAAGAAGTTACAAAGAGGGTGAGGAGTTTTCTTTGCTCATTCATTTAGCTCTTTCAAATTCAAATTCAAAATATCTTTATTAGTCAATCAAAGTAAGCATCGATTGAATTATACAGAAAGTAAGTCAAAAACAGAAATTGAAATAAAAAAAAAAAAAAAAAAAAAAAATAACAAGAAATAACAAAAAATCCTAATTCATTT